GCTGTACAGTACACGCGACCCCTAATGGACAATCGGATATCACGGTGGTGGCATAAGCGGCATAAATTGGCAAAAGCCAGCCCAGCCTTTTGTATTCGTGCAGAGATTTCATCGACCACTGACCAGCGCAACAGGGCTGATCCTACTTCCCAGGTAAGTGAAGTTGTCGACACACTCAACCTTTCACTCTCTATTGTTAGCCGTGGCACCGCTGAAGACCAATCCTGGAGCACCATTTCCATTTGGGTGGTGAGAAAAGCATCCCAAACATTCTCAAAACGCCACTCAAAGTGTTCAGAAGACTCTGCATCTTGTCAGCATCTTCACCTAACAGGACTATGTCATCTGCATATTCTACGTCTAACGAAAATTCTCCTGCGATTACGTCAACCTCTGTGTAATCAGGTGACGAGAGGGAGACCTCCATAAGAACACCTACGATAAATTTGAATGAAAATGGAGACAATGAGCACCCTTGACGGACACCATACCATAGGCTCTAACACACCTGCAAGTGTTCGAGTAGAGAGCCTTCAATGAGGTGATGTACTTACTGGGCACGCCGTCCAGTGAGATACATTGCCATAATACTTCTCGATCAACGGAGTTGAATGTCACTTTCAGGTCGAGAAATACAGCTAGTGTCGAGCGTCGGTAAACGTGTCTGTGTTCCAGAACCTGGCGAAGTGTAAATATTTGATTGGTACACTACCGGCCGGGTCTCAAGCCTGCCTGGTTTTCTCTGGCTTGCTGTTACCGAGCTTCGCTCAGGCGTCGAAGAATTATAGAACCTAGGATTCATCAGACTGATTCCTCTGTGGTTATCACAAGAGGACTTCTCGCCTATCTTGAAGACTGGGATAATCAGTGATTTAGACCAGTTAGAGTGGATCGTATTTGATTCCCATATACCGTTAACACTTCTGTTAATCTGACTAAGAACACCTTACCACCATCTTTAAATACCTCAGGAGTTAGTCATTCTTGTCCAACCGTCCTTCCGCTTTCCCTACTTCTACTATTCTTGGGGGGCCTATCTAAATGTTCCATTCAGGAACCATCTGGATAGCGATCAGGCGGATAGGCGATCACCATTATCTGTTCGTTCAGCTGGGACTCCAAAAGTGTCACCTAAGTGCCTTTCTGCCTCACTCAGTCCGCCTACCTGGTGCATTGAAGTCTCCTGTAACAACCAACACGTCTGAGCGTTTGGCTCTCGAGAAGAGGCCAGACAGTTTTCGGCAGAGCTCGTCATTCACTTCATCCAAACAACAGTCAGTGTCTTCGTAGGTAGACATTACAAAGAGACAACAGCGAGTTTCATTATTTGTTTTAGTTCTCACTGTGTCGTCCAGTCGGATAGCGCAGAGGCGACTATCAACTAGGATCCAGTCTGGTAGTGAGTTTTCTGCCCTAGTGCTTAATGCTATGCCTACACCTACAATACCACGAGAGCTAGCTATCGAATCTCCAGAAACTCGAAGGGTGAATTTTGCGGATTCATCGCACTGGCTGAGAGGGGTCAGGTGAATAATAGCACTTGGGTCCTGTATGCGTCTCACAAACACAGCACACATTCATCGCCCAAGTTGCTAGTCTTTGCCAACGAAGCCTGATGACTGATTTGACGGAGGGTAAGGGCACTGAAGGCTCCAATATGTAATTTGGGCGTGGTTTAAAGAGACCAAGGAAGCCGTCCTAAGGACTCAGATCATTGTCGAAGGCTCCAGAGCTAGGGGAAATTGAAGATGATGTAGTATCGTTAGTTGAGAAACGTGAAGGGAGATTAGAAGGTAACAATGGAGGAGGTGGATAACAGTCTGAGGAAACCTGAGTGCTGACCGAGTTGTGAGGTTGGTTGACACTTTCCGGCTGCCCACATCGTGGAAGGCTATGTCTTCTCAAGGTACCTGAAAGAGAGAAAAATTTGTGTGACAGCAGAGTCCACCAGACACCTGCTTAAGGATCTTCACATGCACCCTTTTGTGTATGATTATTTTGAACTTTTGTGTTTTTGGGCCGGATGGTCGAAAAGAAACGACAAAAAAGCAATACTGTAGGCCCGGCAGACAGTGGGCTATGGTGGAATGTGTTACTTTTGGGGTCAATATTTTCTAACCCCCCCCACCTAGCTTTTAGAAGGCAGCATCAGCATGGCACTGCTGGTCATCCAAGGGAAACACCTTACTGCTGTCACACCCCATCCAGCTAGCAGCAGTACGACTTCGCCCTAAGACCCCCATCATAGTGTAGTAATTTATACCACAACGGTAACTGCTTTTCGTCTGATCACCATCCAACAGGCCTTTCTGGTATGGTAGGACCTCGAGGGAACAAGCGTTTCACCAACATAGCTCTTTGGGTTATTGTGATATGCAAGCCCGATCACCACGTGAAGGTAGCAGCCTCCGGTCGGGTGTCAAGTCAGTGCTTCTATGTGATGGTTCAGAAACTTGGCACGTCACGAAAAGCATTTCCAACAAACCACAGATATTCATCAACAGCTACCACCTACGCTCACTCGTTACTGAAGACCGGATGGACAGAATAATGAGAATAAGTAACAAGGGACTCTGACCGGGTAACGAATCAACCAAGAACCTATCGCCCAACAAATATGCAGAAGAAAGTGGAGATGGATTGGGCATACACTAAGACCGACTGGAGACATCACGCACCAAGCCAGGCCCTCGAGTGGAACCCAAAGGGGAAAACACGAGTTGGGCGACCGAGCTGAGGGTGACATGGAGGAGATTGTGTGAGGAAGAAATGAAAGCTTCTGGGCAGTCGTGGAGCCAGGTTCAAAGGACTCAGGAGAATAGGGTGAAATGGAGACGTGCTACTGAAGCCCTATGTTCCACTAGAAACCCAAGGGACAGATAATGAAAATATATCCTATCAGCTATTGAATAGTACATATGAACGTTCAAACCTTCCCATGAATCTGATTAACGACAAGTGAAACTTGAACTGTTACCTCCTACAACTAAAAATGAGGTATATAGAAAAGAAATTGTCAGTATGTTCAGAACTTCAGCTAATTATCAATGAATGAGTGGATTTCTTCTTAGCAATACTCTGAACTGGCTATATCACGGGTAAAGATTATAATCTGGAAGAAAAATGAAGAATATTTCTTTCCGCACTAATTTAAAAAGGTAACATTGGTCTGCTGGCTTACGTTCAAATAGACCTCATAGGTTTTTCATGCACCACTTCTACTTACCTCTGAAATTTCCCATTCTTAGTAATTGATTCCCTTGATACTGAAAGAGTCAAGGCGTACGCACATCAAATTAGCAGCATTGAGTTTAATAATACAGAGTATTTAAAGGGAACACTACCTACAGACCTTAGTGTGGCTTTAATAATACCATAAGTGCAAAACACGGGCAGTGTGGTAGACTATAGTTTCACTTTAATTTATTGAGTGGGTGCATGGTAGTGAAACCGTGTTATTTACTGGTTAATGTTTCGGAGACAACATGCCATCCACAGTCATATCACAGTTATACTTTGATGTGAGTCTATAATATATTGTGTCTGAAACGTCAACCGGTAGATAACACTTTTCAATACATGCTACATGTGAAAAACCAGATAAAATGGAATCATACACGTACTAGTGAATCTCCACCCGGATACAGAAGGCCCTTTTGTATTTGCTACCATGTGATATCTCCAGCGCCAACTGGCGAGATATCCAACTGCCTATGAAAGTACGTGTATACAACGTTGCAATCCGTTGTCCTGTTGTACGGTTGTCAGACATAATCGTTAAAAGTGGAGGATATAAAGCAGTTACAGGGTTTTGATCAAACGCGTCTTCTTACCATTTCTCGCGTATGGTGGAATCATTAGGTCCAGGTATGGTAAAGTGTACTTAGCAAGGAAGGGAACTCAGTCGATTAGGTTTTGAACCTTCAGCAACTGATATAGCTTGGACATGTGTTGCGTATACCCAACACCGTCTATCACAACGTGCCATGCTAGGATAAGTTGAACTCGGTTGGAAGAGGGTTCAGAGTGACCATACCAAGACGTGACGCCAATCTATGAAGTCTACGACTGATGGTCTGAGCTGTACGGGGAGATATAGACTACTTGGCTAGGGTCATCAAGGTGAAACGAATCAGTAGTTTGAGACCGTTGGTGGTCACCATGGTGCAGATGTATTCACTCACCGTCTTCCAAAGCTTGAACATTTCCACTAACCTTCATTTTAGAATCTCTTCTCTCATGCACCTTCATCCACTTTAATATGTCTTTTCTCATCTACTTGTTCTTTGTTTGTCACTACAAAACATGGTAACTTGAACTAATGCACTTGTGTGCAAGGTTCTACGTTGATTTCGCCAGTTTAACTAGTGAGTCCAGAAAAAATATCAATCTTCATATTTCACATGGTAAGATACTTTCTTTCACTGATTACTTTGTGTATTTATTCTAATTAAGTGAATGAAGCAACGATTGTAGTAATTATAAACTACTTCGTATTGGTGAAACCATATTAAGTTTTTTATCGGATAGAAACATTACTGTACTGAGAAGAATGAAAATGATAACAAATTGTCGAGTTTAACAACACAACCAGTGAGGCGCCTTTCCTTTATTATGCAAAGGTATTTGATATTACAGTACGCCCCCAACTGTACTCATCACATTCGCGTTATGAATCACAAGATTAATGTATTCCTAATTTACTTGTACTGGAAAAACGAAGGATTAAATGATTAAAGTCAAGTTGGTGAAAGTGTAATTAAAATAATAATAATAATCTTTATTCATACATAAACCTGAGTATGTACACGTGAAGGTTTCAACAAGAAAATAAATAAACGCTACGACAATAATAAGGAGAGAAAAATAACTTTGACTAGAAACAGTATTGAATAGTCAGCTAAATTATCGCTTGTTATATGCAAAATCATGAACAAAAAACAAGTTAATATTTCTCAGTTAGTTAGTAGTCAGTGAATCCTTCAATCCCCTTTAGCCGATCAGTTAATTGGCCTTGAATCATTGTAGCATAATAACAAGGGAAGATGTAGACGAAAGCAAAAATCTGTACCTATAATTATTCATAAGAAAATATAAAAATAAATAAAATTATCTGTTTAGAAAGAAGAAGACCTATGTTCACAAATGACGACAAATACACGCAAAGATTCACCTGGATCTTATTAATAATAAAAAGTTAATTATAATCCATTACTTATCAGAAATGCATGGTTCAATGAGTAATAACGAATTATTCACGTAAGTACTACCCTACGTATTAGTGCTTAATGAATAGATAAATAATCACATATTCACTAGTTATTTGCTTCGGTTACCATTTCACTAAGTCCCTTCAGTTGTGAAAGATAATCACAGGTTGAAAGTAAGGATACATAACCGAAGGTTATGACATTTTATCCATTCACTACTAACCAACTGGTGTTTGAATGCGATGATATAATGAACAACAAGTAAACACAGTTAATCATATGATAATAAAGTAATACACTCGGTGACTGAAATGAATTGGAATCCTAGCTAGTTGGCAGTCTTCTTTGTCCAGCGTATAAAGAACAGTATTGGTAGTCAAATAAATGATGATTCCGATTTAGATGTGTATTACAAATCCTTCAAAAAGGCAATCATCATCTTACTATTTAGATGATCGCCAATCAATCAGTTTCACTAAGTTTACACGTTAGTATAATATACCACATTAGGTGGAGCAATTTCATACACATGACGACGCAAATGAAACTTTTCCCTAAAATGAAGAACTGATCGTTTCCTCTACAACACCCTGTTCATTAGTGAGGATGCTGTACTTCAGTTTACCTTGTTCTGGAGAAAATTAATTTTTATAAAGTAACAATTTAGTGCGAAAGTGAGTATCTTATTCCTCACAGTTCTGCAGAAGAAACAATATGAACAGGTGGCAGTGATCAGTTTAAGTATAACGACAATGATTTCTGACCACCTTAACAGAACCAAAATGTATATGTAAAAAATTGTCAGCTTCATTGGATTGTGTAGTGGGATTAGTGTTGAAATCGCAAACATTATCTAGAGACATGTACTATAAAACAAGACAAGATTGCGATAAACAACAAAATCTGTGCACATCTCAGTTCTGTGCAACCTCCTAAATAATTTATACTGAATTATTAATTCTATTTCTGATATATCAACATTTCAACAATGGTGATTCTTTGCTCCGACTTTTGAAATAAAAAGGAATACTCTAACTCTGTGCATATTGTTCTGGAAACAACTAAATGGATGAAAGAAATGCTTCTTACCCAAATCTTGAATCAAGGACTGACGTAAGACTTGAGAAAGCCTTTCTCCAACCTATTGTAATAACTAACTGGATACCCTTCTTTTTGTCAGAATGATAATTTTCCGGCTAGTCTCGTCAGTCGAGTCTACCCATACTATGCTACTTAGATGTAGTCGCTACACAGTGACCTTCAAAGTCTTCCGGATAAAGCCCCAGACCCAGAAAAATCAACTCCAGCTCCACTATATACGTGCAAATTGTTTGTCAAAACACTTCTGATATTCTGACAGTCAGTCTATATCATCAACATGACAAGTAATGATTTCCGTAAGTATGAACGCTTGTCTATCCACGACTAATTCTTTTCTTAGAACTTGTGTCAACACAATACTTCAGTTACAACCTTCACATTCTCTGTTTCAATTTTAAATACACGAATAGGATTACAGCTCATACATAGAAAACACGTTCTACCAAACAAAAAAAGAATCTTAGGACGCTTCATTCTACGTTATCGACATTTTGATTGTATATTGTACACTTCCAAAATGTATTTGGGTGAAAAACATTTGAAAGTCACATCCGGCATACACTTTGTAAAGGTAAACTGAACTCTTCACCTGGAAAAAGTGGACTTTAAAGAAAAGTAATTCAGTTTGAAGGTTTGTAGGGATTTACTCGTTTATTTCAGATTGATATTCATCATGGACTGACATCAGCTGGAGAAACATTGGAAATCGGGGGGTTGTGCTTCAATGCGAACTGACAGAAGTTGGAAACTGTCGGCCACTGGATTTCTAAGCAGTAGTTCAATGGTAACGTGCCGGCCGCGGAACCTGAAGGTTAGATTCCTGGCGAAGTCATCGATGCGCATCACTGGGGAGTCCTGTACTAGGACGAAAAAGCTATCCTATAATTCCAGGTTTACATTGGCTTCCCAATTTGTGTCAGTCCATGGTGAATACCAACCTGAAAGTGGCCCAATCAAAAATGTGATATTTCACCTACTAACATGTAGCTTGTAACTTATTTACTTTAAACGTTGAAACACACTAGTGTTATGAATTGTCTATCGGAAAAAAGTATCAATTTTAGTCCTTACGTGAAGCGCGTATTGATATTGAGATCCAAGACCGTAGTTTTTTCACTAAATCTTTACCATCTAAAGAGTACGGATTAATGCCTCGTAACAAACAAAGCTGTAAAAAGATTTGAAGGATTAGAGAGAAGAGCAATGCAATTTAATCACATTTCCGTAAAAGTAATTTGTGAATGTTTACGCATAAACTTTTTACCACTGTTGTCTGAATACAAATATGTCTGGATAGCGACATTTGGAAAAGCTGATAAGATATGAAAATTAGTGATAATGTAAATGAACCACATCATCACCAGTAGATATGAAGACGGACCCATATCACTCACTAGCTTTGCAAACACAAAAAGTAAGGAGTCTAAATAACGAAACGTGGGGAATTTCTGCAAGTGATGATTGGTGAGTGATGTTTCCAGGTGGTTTTATGATCGACGACAATAAATTTAAAAGAATTTTGCCAATGACGTGAAGTGAAGGTTGGTAGCTATCATTAGTCGCATCATTTTCCACCGCCTTCCTGCATAATCTTCAATTCAGGAGGACAGTTGACGGGTTTTCTGTAACAAACATTTTTGACGAGATATTCTACCGTAAACATTCGCCTAAAAAGAAAAGCTGCTTTCAAGTGGAAACTCTCCGATCCACAAAGTTCTCTCCTTTCCGAGCACAGAGAAACACGTTGCGCTCTTATGATCGCGAAACGACGGAAAAGATTTGAAGCTGTATTCACTATCTGTGAGTTTAAAAACCTCTATGATGGTTTTCACCGTGGACTGATATCAGTTGAAGAGATTCTGGAAATCTGAGGGCACTAAACAGTTGTTTCACCCTGGTTTGAGGCTCATCAGAGTGCATACACTCACGATCTTATTAAGGTTTGGGAAGAAAGATGTTAGTTCTTATCATGAAAACAGTAGTCTATATGGCCACATAACTGCAATCTACCATTCAGTTTCATGCTTCTGTTGATTTGTGACACAGCATAACCATCATGTGATACCATATATAAGTGTCTGCGTTATATTTGAACAGGTTAGTGCAACAAGTCACGACTTCTAAAGGGATAATGCTTGCATCATATAGCAAGTTTCTAGGAGAAGGAAAAGATAGGTAATCAGGTCCCAACTCCATGGCTGGATGGTTATGCGCTCCTCTTGAGATATGATGGTCCTCAATTTGACCTGTTACAAAATCATGCGTTTATACCGCTAAGGTGTCTAGAACTAGGATCAGATAGCTATCTAGTGCTATCAAGCTTTCATTGATTTCCTGACTTATGTTGATTCATGATGAAAATGCCCTTGATATCAATGAATTTCCCGCAAGTCTTCAAAATGAATTCAGCAATGATAGGTTCAGTGATCAATAAAATATTTTGTGTTTGACCTAAAACACAGTTAAGTATTCAATATGCTATTACGCAATCATAAGCAATTGTTAACAGCTTAAGAGCGACTGATATCAGCTTCTGATGAAATACATTTAACATGCAAAAAAAATGTGAAATAGTAAGCTGAAATAACTATCTACTTATTTGGCTTACTTGTTTAATCTCTGATGATGGATTATCAAAGAAGGCCTTTTCTGTGTCCATGCATCTGTCTTCGGCGTAAAGGAAATGTGCATGTTTTTCAATACGAGTATACGAGAAGTTTGTACAACAGATTTTCGCATATATGAATCACACCATAGTAGACTATTCATTGTCCAAGCATACGAACAAATCGATAAACCATGTAATCGACATAAACCAACCTGTAAAAACAAGGAAAATACATGAATAGAAACAATTCAGTAAATCATAATGCTGTGTGTATGTATATATGAATTATTAATTATGAACAACTGTATGAAAAGGATAAAACAAAATAAAATTATTCAAGCAAGACCTAATGAAGTGCAAAATACAAAAAATAACAACAAAATAACGAGGTACGTAGACAATATGCTTGTCATCTTCAAACGAAACGGTCTGGATGAACTCTTTTGTCATATAAATAACAGGTGCGGAAGTATTACTTTTACCAGGAAAGTTAAATCCAACTTGTCGAAATTAACCTTTATGGAAAGACAGTATTACAGCAAGCTAACGACTAAGATTTTTTAGGAAACCAACACATTCTGACAGACACCTAGATTATCAGTTTGCACATCCTGTGACCACTAAAGTAACAGTCCCACAGAATCTAATCAACAGGGCTAACCATCTTGTTACGACGAAAGAAGAAGAATAGTCAAAGTCAGTTTGCTGCACACTGTAAGTAAACAATTATTCCAAAGATTTCGTAAAACCAATTTTAAAAGTGAAATTAAGGATGTACTGAAACTCCTTCCGAAAAACTGGATAAACACGGTCATAATCCCATACAGTAAAAAGACCTCAGAAGAAATAACAAGGATTCTCAACAAAAATGAAATAAAAGCTTACTTTTGGGCAACAAATACCCTACGCTCTAACTTAATGAAGGTGAAAGATGTAGTACCTAAAGAAAATCAACAGAATTGACTTTATGAAATCAGATGCAGACATTACACTGTAGTATATCTAAAGAAGACAGCCAGGCAGCTTACTGTGAGAGTCAATGAGTATAGACTATGCTTAAAACAGATTCCAAAAACCTTAGCAGATGTTAAGAAGCTAGAAGACAAATCCGCAATCATGCTATACTCCATAGAAATGGAATAAAAAATTGACTTTGACGGAGATAAGGTTCTAGAAAAAGGTGTTAGGTCATACAAGAAAGATTGACAGCTGAAACCCTAAATATGTGGGCGAATCTAGACAGTTTGAACAGACGACAAGGAGTACAGTTAGCTGCCTCTTGACAATTACCAATTAGTAAGTAGAAAGAGTGATTCTAGCACTTACCATCACCACCAGTCTCAACTGCATCAACATCAACAACATTACTACCATTGGTTTCCATTCTATTCCGGTAAATCAATTAAAAACTCGTTAATACTATTCAGTCCCATATACCAACTGAAATGATATACTTATCCGCCTCATATATTCCATTGTACTTATAAAATAACCGAATGACTATAATGTCACCTGTGACCTTTTTTTCTGATATTTGCAATCAAGCCGAATATGAATGGTAGCACACACACAGACAGTTTTACACTGAATGATTAATTAGATTTTGAGGGGTTGTGGAGATTTGGAAATATTTCAAGTTGTTATTCATCGAAGACTGACATCATTTGGAGGAACAAAGGAAACCTGGGAGCACTGGACAGCTGTTTCGTCCTAGTATGGGACTCCTCACCAGTGCGCACCCACAACCCCACCAGCAGGGATCGAACCCGCGACCTTCAGGTTCCGCGACCAGCGCGTTACCATTGAGCCACTGGCTCAGAATCCAATGCTCCATATTTCCAACTTCTGTTAGCTCACGATATAGCGCAAACCGCCACCCAATGTCATCGTTGAGTATTTGTCCTCACGACCATCAGGCTTTGACTCCACCGGTCACGACTTGTCATTGGAACTTCGGGAATACTTCTCGAAGCTAGTCACCAACGAGCACTAGTTCAATTAAATTTTGAGGGGGTTGTGGAGATTTGGAAATATTTCAAGTTGTTATTCATCGAAGACTGACATCAGTTGGAGGTGGGTGCGCACTGCTGAGGAGTCCCATACTAGGACGAAACAGCTGTCCAGTGCTCCCAGGTTTCCTTTGTTCCTCCAACTGATGTCAGTCTTCGATGAATAACAACTTGGAATGATTAATTATCATATTTTAGAAAGACAATGACTATATGAAGAGGATTGGACAATGAGTTTACAAACACGTCTTTGGATTCATTCATATATCGTTGATATTTTAATTTTGATCATTTCTCTGAAGAAGCTGTGACTAGACTTCAGTATGAAACGTTGGAATAATTTAATTTCAAACACAATGTGACTTACACAAATGCAAACTGTATCTCATGTCAAAATCACGAGAGTTTAAATTCTCATTCAGGGAAGGTTCTTACACCAAACAATGCATGGATGCATACATATACAAATAACGCCTCCATTGTAATTCATTGATCTTGACTTTCGACTAACGGATTTCGACTTCAAACCCTGCATCACATCACTCAACCTAGACAAAAGCGTTGTACATTCAACCTTTACACGATAAGTGTGGTTCATGGCATAAAAAAACATGTACCGCAGTTGAATTATATTGTTTCATTCCCCTCAAAGATTGTAAATGATAGAAATGATGAAGTGAAATAAGACAAGTACTCTCAATTTGCATAGAAACATTTAATAAGGAGGGGTGATTACGTAATACGCGCCATAGATTTTAAAGGATAGCTAAAGTTTAAACAAAGTAATTTATCAGTACACTTGAAGCTACAAATAATCACCGTTTACTTAGAAATGTTAATTTCTCTAGCTTCAGATTGGTATATGAAAAACATTTCTTGTTAACTTGCAAATGGGCATATCAAGGAATGACGTATTACAAACTGCTAAATACATGACAGCTGTTTATTACCTACTATGTCATAAATATCACCCTACTAGTGTTTATTTATTATTAGTTTGGAAATAGAGACCAAGTCGATCGGTCAAGTTTATCCCTAAACAAATTATTATCTAGATTGAATGAAGTTGATTTAAACAAACCAAAAAAATCCAACGTCAATCCTTACTTTTTATCAACGCTACCTGAGTGGTGGATGCATGCAACATCAAACTTAGCGTATATTAAACATACTAAAAAACTGGCCGATAGAATATAACCAGTATGAACGGTTGAGACATGATATTGGTTAATGCAGCATAGTCAGATACTATGTACTGCGTCAACACCTGAATATTAGCCTGAAAACTTAGTATCAGATTCATACACTTGAAAAAGATCTTCCTAATAAGATCGAAACGTTGAGGAATACTACAAAACATTTGTCTATTTTGTTATTTGCTCTAATATACTACGCTGGTATGCTTACTACACAAGTAAAAATACACCTTGTACAATAAATCATACTAACTTGGTGCCCAGGTTTTTCTAAACCATCCAGTCTACTGTTGATCAAGATACATTCAAATATTAAGTATTTTATTACCATCATATGGAAATTGGTCACTTAGTCTTCATGACCTCACAACAAATCATTAGAACCTTCAATTAGTGAACAATAAACATAAAAGTTTGTGGATTGTACAATATTACAATACAATCCAACTAAATATATATATCCATAAGAAAAAATTAACTTATAAATGTTGAAATAAACAAAAATACACTTAATGCGTTTAATGTCGACTGTATTAGCATAGAATAAGAAATATATGAACGTAAATAAGTTGATGGCATCTTCTTATACATAACATAACAACAAGTAATCAGGAAATTCAGTTTGAGGAAAACAGTAAGTGAGAAAAATACGATAACTAGGATGCATGGATGAGCAAATGAATGAATGAATAACAAGTAACACTACACTGATTAACAATGAACACGCATCAAAAATTCTGCAGAACAGCAGAACTTCATAATTAAATGCTCAACTGACCACGTAACTTTTCTTTTTTGCTATTCATCATGTTGTAAAGTCATAAAGCGTATATCCATTCAACCAACAACAGTTCGACTATTATTAGGATATTATGAAAACATAAATTACAAGTTTAGTTGAAATCGTCAGTTTATTAACTTGAATTTAGCTAATAACGCTTCTTAGTCAGTAGCTTGAAATATCATCACAAAACATCACCACTAGTAAGTCTCTGGCTCAACAGCTGATGACCAGATATGAAATCATGGTGACACGAATAAAACTACCGAAAAAAAAACTGTACTATAATGTGGGATACGACTACCAAGCTCTTTATAAAGAACAGTTAAACCCCTAAAGCCTTTTCCAACTAATCGATTTGTATCGAAATTTCGGAAGAAAGGTACCAAAGTGTAAATATCAGATTAGTTGGAGAGAGAAAAATCAAAAGGATATTCTAATCTAGAAAAGCCCAGAAATAGCCAAGGCCATTGTAAACGTACTGAAACCGTTGTATTATGTATACGTTTTTGATACTGCGATATACCTTCTGTTATATTACCGCTTTTCCATTTATCGAGGAACCTGAACGGCCATCAAAGGGTGGAATCTGAAAGTTATTATCCAAGTGTCCATATATATGTATATATATATATATATATATATATATATATATATATATATATATATATATATATATATATATAGGTCATAGCAAGTAGTCATTATAAAGACATAATAAGTGGTGACAAAGATATAACACGATGGTATATCACAGGTTAATCTCTGTTTTAAATGATAATTATTCAGCTTTTATAATGTAGCCAATTGGCAAGTAGTAATGATAGATTCATTCCGATGAAAGGAGGAGGAGGAGGAGTTCTAGTACTTTATGACAATCACAACTAGTTCAACCTTATCCGCTTTCAATGAAAACTGTCTTCAAATTTGTCATTGCTTCCAAATGAAGGAAATATACCTCTGCTTATGCATACATAGAAAAGTCTATTGAAGAGAATAGTCATTAGTATAAGGATGATCATATAAGCTACGATAATTTGTGGCCTTGATGACAAAAAGACCACATTTAATGAATAATAAAAAACATTTTGGTTACCGTCAAAAACAATCGCAAATAAGTTCCTTCGTAATCACAATCTGTTCTTGAAAATAACAGTGTGATTAAATACTTAGTAACTCCCATCAGTAGTAAATCCTGGTTAAGCAAATCGTCAATACTACTACTA